GGAGGGAGGGACTGGGAGGGAATGAGGGATCGGGACATGGCTGGGGTACAAAGTTAATAAAATGTAACTGATAAAAAAAATAAATATGAGTTTACATAAAATATCAAAGACGAAATGCAAGTGCCTTTACCAACTGAGCCATTTCAACTGTCTAAGGACTAGAGCAGGGGCTGTCTCTGACATGAACTCAGTGTCTGGCTCTCTGATCACCTCCCCCTGGGGGCTGCAGCCTTACTGCGCCACAGAGGAAGACAATGCAGCGAGTCCTGATGAGACCTGATAGGCTAGGGTCAGAGGGAAGGGGAGGAGGACTACCCCTATCAGAGGACTAGGAAAGGGGCATGGGAGGAGAGGAAGCAAAAGTTGGACTTGGAGGAGATGAGGAAGGGGGTCACAGCTGGTATACAAACTGAATAAATTGTAATAAATGATGATAATAATAATAATAAAAGAAGAAGGGAAGAGTTTTTCTCTTTTTTATTATTAATTACAGTTTATTCACATTGTATCCCCCCATAAGCCCCTCCCTCCTCCCTCTCTATCCCACCCTCCCTCCCCCTTCTTCGCGCATGCCCCTCCCCAAGTCCACTGATAGGGGAGGTCCTCTTCTCCTTCCTTCTGATCTTAGTCTATCAGATCACATCAGGAGTGGCTGCATTGTCATCTTCTGTGGCCTGGTAAGGCTGCTCCCCCCTCAGGGGGAGGTGAACAAAGAACAGGCTTATCAGATTATGTCAGAGACAGTGGGGAAGAATTTAAATGAAGTGTCTCACACTATAGTTTTTATTGGAGATATATTAGATGATAAAGGATGTTGAGCTTACTTGGTCCACTGTATATATTCTATTTTCAATGAGTCTACTGTTGTCATACCTTCTCTGACTGATTTCCATTATCACTTGTTATTTTAATGGGTCTATAAAATGGGTGCAGGTCTGGCATGTTGGGTACTGGAGCCTGGACTTGTGCCCAATTATAAAGTCTGAATAAACAAATGTCACAGTCTCTTGATTATGGTAAACAAAACCCAGAAATAATACAAACAAAGTCAATAAAACTTATCAGCTGGAGTTGTTCAATGTTCTTTGTATCTAAATTGATTCCTTGGATAATGAGAACTAAAATTAGGCAATTTTCAAGACTCAAACCTAATGCACACAAGCTGATGCATGAAAAGAAATGAGGCTGAAGTAATCAGAGACAGGATTTAAGAATAACCTATAGTAATTTATTTCAATAAAAGAGGGGAGGTTGGGGAAAACTAGGAGAAGTGAAGGGAGGGAAGTTTGTGGTCATAATGTATGAGAGATAAATAAAGGGACAAGAGAAAAAATGTAACTTTAAACATAAAACATTCATTATTAGTAATAAAAAGAAAATACGTTGGTTTCTTATAATATTATCACTTAGAAATCATGGAAAGGAAAAATATATAAGAACTAACTTAATATTAAAACATTTATTAATTTTTTAAAAATCTCACCCTTCCTTATAAAGGGTTAAATCGCACTTAGAGAAATAATACTCCTCTGATCACTAGTGTTCATATTGGGTCCCATGAATGACTCTATAATTTAACAATGAAAAAACTTGAAGAATAGTAATCAAGACTTGATATTGGAGAACAAACATAATTATTTTGTTTCATTATTGTATCATTTAGTGAAGTTTGCTGTTGCTGCTATTGTTTGAATGAAGACTAATTAAAATCAGTGCTTTATTTCTTTGATTTTATGTTATTTGCGGCTACTGTGAATGGTGTTGTTTCTCTGTTTTCATTTTTAGTTCATTTGACATTTGGCTATAGGAAAGCTACTGATTTGGTGAGTTAAATTTGTATCTGGTTACTTTTCTGAAAGTATTTATCAGCTGTAGAAGTTTCCTGGTGGAAATTTTCAATGTATACTATCATATCATCTGCAAATAAGGATACACTGACTTTTTCCTTTCTACTTTGGATCCCACTGACATCCTTCAGTTATATTATTGCTCTAGGTAAGATTTCAAGCACTCTATTGAACAGGTATGGAGACAGAGGACAGCCTTGTCTTCTTACTGATTTTAGTGGATGTTCTCTGAATTTCTCTCCATTTAATTTGATATTAGCATTGACTTTGCTGTGAACTGTCTTTATTAGGTGGGGAGGTATGTCTTTTGTGTCTGCAATCCCTCCAGTACTTTTATCAAAAGGGGGTGTTGGATTTTGTCAAAGGCCTTTTCTACATCTAATGACATGATAATGTGGCTTTTGTATTTCAGATTGTATAGTGGATTACATTTGTCATATATTGAGAAGACATTCTTCACAACCAATGGTTTCAAGGTGAATTTTTTTCACACAAAGTTCAAGAGTTTGAGTGGTAGCTGGAATTTAAACAACAGCTAGTTCTTCCTAGATAAGAAAACTGTAAGCAGGTGGGAAATTCATAACAAAGATATAAGGATATGGAGAATATTGTGGCTTGACTGCAGATGTGAGTCTTCATGGGTAGAAAACAGCACAAAGGGATATGGAGGAAACTGGAGAATGATGACTGAGCAATCTTGCTCAAGCACGTACCCATATCTACTTACCTGTTTATCTGTTATCTATCTATCATCCATGTACTCATCTATTTTTAATGTTAATTTTTGTATATTAAGTACAGTTTATTCACTTTGTATCCCAGCTGTATCTCCCTCTGTCATCCTCTCCCAATCCCACCCTTCCTCCCTCATCTCCTCCCATGCCCCTCTCCAAGTCCAGGGATAGGGGAGGTCCTCCTCCCCTTCCATCTGACCCTAGCTTATCCAGTCTCCTCTGAACTGGCTGCATTGCCCTCCTCTGTGGCCTGGCAAGGCTGCTCCCCCATCAGGGGGAGGTGATTAAAGAGCCAGCCACTCAGTTCATGTCAGAGACAGTCCCTGTTCCCCTTACTAGCTACCCACTTGGATACTGAGCTGCCATGGGTTATATCTGAGCAGGGGTTCCAGTTTATAACCATGAATGGTCCTTGCTTGGAGTATCAGTTTCAGAAAAGACCCCTGTGCCCAGATATTTTGGTTCTGTTGCTCTCCTTGTGGAGCTCCTGTCCTTTCCAGGTCTTACTATCTCCCCCTTCTTTCCTAAGATCCCCTGCATTCTGCCCTAAGTTTGGTTATGCATCTCAACATCTGCTTTGGTACCCTGCTGGGTATAGTCTTTCAGAGGCCTCTGTGGTAGGCTCCTGTCCTGTTCCCTGTTTTCTCCCTGGCTCTCCCCACCCCACCCCAGTCTCCTCCCAATTCTACCCTCTTTCCTTCTTCTCCCCTTCTGCCCCTCCCCTAGTCCTCTGATAGGGGAGGTCCTCCTCCCCCTCTATCTGACCCTAGCCTATCAGCCTACCTAAATTAAAAAGAAGATCCTAGATTGAAGATGAAATAAAAAATGAAAAAGGAAGATTTAATAATATTTAGAAATTATATATTTTTATAAAGACAGTATCACTTTAGTAATATTGACCTTGCCTTTATTGACTCTTTATTATTCATTGTATAGACAAAGAAATGAAATTAGGGGGTACCATATTTTGGGAATAGCTAAATGGTCATATTTTCCATAAATATATTTACATTCTCATTTGCTTTTCAATGTTTCTTATACATCCAAAAATGTAAACTGTGCTTTACAAATTAGTATGTACTTTTTAATTTTTTAAAAAACAAAGCCACCTAATAACATAAAAGTGAGCCAAGTGCACTGCTCTTGACATATCTCTTGGTGTAAATACCAACAAACTTGTAGTGTGAGAAATGAAGTTACAGAGGCTTTGAGGACAAATTATAATACAGACCAAGTGTTAGTTAAGGTAAAAATTCAGCAGTGAACACAGATTACTGTAATTATTTTCACTATACCTGCTTTACCCAGTATTAGAGAATGAACCCTGAGCTTCATGCTAGACAAATAATCTGCCACAAATTGCTCTTAATAAGGAGGAAATGTTCCATAGAAAAAATAGTAAGAGCTGGAGAGGACAGGAACTCCACAAGGAGAGCAACAGAAGAAGAAAATTTGAACACAGGGAACTTCCCAGAGACTCATACTCCAACCAAGGACTATTCATGGAGATAACCTAGAACCCTGACAATGCAGCCACTTCTGATGAGAACTGATAGACTAAGATCAGAAAGAAGGAGAGGAGGACCTCTCCTATCAGTGGACTTGGGGAGGGGCATGCATGCAGAAGGGGGGGAGGGTGGGACCGGGAGGGGAGGGGGTAGGGGCTTATGGGGGGATACAAAATGAATAAAGTGTAATTAATAAAAGTTAAAGAAAAAATTAAAAAAAAAGAAACATGGAGCTTAGACAAGGTGGCTCCAGAGAGCACAGTGTTGGGCCGAACCTTGTTTTCTGACTGAGAAATTGCTGTGTCAGTTCCTGCGAATGTAAGAAATGTTCCCGGTATTCACATGCCACTAGATCATGTATTATACCTCTTTAGTATTTAGTGTATGGTCAGTGGCCATTGACTTTTCAGTTATATGTTCTTCATGGGCTTGTTTTTAGGATTTTAATGTCATTTGTTAGCCATTCATCTTGAAACGAGCTGCTATCCATTAAAGCACACATTGGTAAAAGCAAGGCACTCAGAGATGCATCGATGATCTTCAAGCTTGTAGTACAGCCTCAGATAGGCAGACACTAACATTTTGTTGTTGTTGTTTGTTTGTTTCTAGTTTAATTAGAATTCACAGGGGGCATGGAGGGGTAGGAGAGGGAGGAAGGGTGGAATTGGGAGGGGAGGAGGGAGGGGGCCACTGTGGGGATACAAAGTGAATAAATTGTAATAAAAAATAATTAAAAGAACACTAAAAAATGTCCCACACTAATACTATGTGAAGATATTTCTCCTAACATAAGATAAAAAAACATCAAATTTCTGTGAAAAATACAAAGCTGGCAGTTATGTAGAGGCTTGAGTCATTTGCATAATTATCTTCCTATGCTGTCATGCTCTCTGGAGACAGCTTCAGAAAGATCAAGAAACTTTTAGTCTAAGAAAACTAAGAACATATTCCCCAATTTTCTTTGTCCTAATGCCATAAACAATGGGGTTAAGAAAAGGTGGTACCAGAAGGTACATGTTGGCTATGAGGATATGGATTTTGGGAGCCACATTGTGGCCAAAACGGTGGGTCAGCAATGTGAAGACAGCTGTAGAGTAGAAAACAAGGATTACACAGACGTGGGAGCCACAGGTGCCTAAGGCTTTGAGACTTGCTTCTCGAGATGGAAGTCGGAAGACAGCACGGAGGATCAGAACATAGGCGATGGCAATGAAGAAGCCATCACAGGAGCCAATGACAGAGGCTGAAACGCTTGGTAGCTCCTGTGTCCACACACGCCAGCTTCACCAGAGCCATGAACTCACAGTAGGTGTGTGCAGTGGTTCGAGTTCTGCAGTAGGGCAGCTTCTTGAGCAGGACGGGGTGTGGGGAGAAGAAGCCCACCCCACGTAGCACCACAGCTGCTCCCATTTTGGCGATGCGGCTGTGGGTGAGAATTGTGGCGTGGCGCAGCGGGTCACAGATGGCCACATAGCGGTCAATGGCCATGGCCAAGAAGAAGCCAGATTCCATGGCAGTGAAGCTGTGGATGAAGAACATTTGGGCAAGGCATGCATCGAAGGCGATGTCATGGGCTCCCATCCAGAAGAGACAGAGCATGCGTGGCAGTGTAGACGTGGAGAGGACCAGGTCAGTGACTGACAGCATGCACAGGAAGAGGAACATGGGCTCGTGGAGGCTGCGCTCTGCTCTTACCACAGCCAGGATAGTCACGTTTCCCATCACTGCCACCAGGTACATGGAGCAGAAGGGAATCCCAATCCAGACATGGAAGCGCTCCAGGCCTGGGATGCCCATCAGCCAGAAGGTGCTCTGGGAGAGTTGGGACTGATTGGCTGGCTCCGTGGTGGCGCTGCCCACTGTTGGAGGCGCAGGTCCTCCTCGTATAGAGAGTGTGATTTGCTTGGGTGGTTACAAACAACTCTGAAAAGGAAGGAGAAGTAAACCTGGAGTATCCCCCAAAGCCCACCCTACAGCGCTACACAAGCTTTAACAAGAGCAGGTGTCCTCAACCTGTGGTTTAGAACCCATCTGCAGGTCACCTAAGACCACTGGAAAACGCAAATCTTTACGTTATGAATCGACACACAGGCAAAATTAAAATTATGAAGCAGCAACAAAAATAATGATATGAGGACTGTTTTTAAAGACTGCTGCATTAAAGGTTGAGAATTAATGAAGTAAAGTATTAAAAAAAATCCTTAGCAACATTAGGTAAAAATGTACCCAGACACCCCAAGTCGATTATAAATCAACTGAAAAATCTCCTATATTTTATAAAAATATTAAATTTATTCAGTGATATGTGATAAAACAAACTCCCAACCCTTTTAATTTCAGAAGTTTTTTAATTCTCAGGAACATCCGATTTATACATGGAATAAATTTTAATTTTAGTTGTATACCGTTCCTTCTTGGTATCAGACCTAAATATTCTCTCTCTGTGTTTTTGTCTCTGTCTCTCTTTTGTCCCTTTGTCTCTCTTTCTCTCTCTATCTCTCTATGTGTGTATGTATGTATGTATCTATGTGCCTTTAAGTAAGAATTTGGAATTTGTATTCACAGACTATTGAATCCTTCATTGCCAAGACTGTCACAGAATTTATATCCATGAGACATTTTCTACTACTATGCAAATGTTAAGAGTTTTCCGCCTGCCAGATTTTTAAAAATTTGAAAATTAACAAGAATTTGTAGCAACTTTATTCATAATAGCCAGAACCTGGAGACAACCCAGATGCCCCTCAGCTGAGGAATGGATACAGAAATTGTGGTAAATTTACACAATGGAATACTACTCAGCAATTAAAAACAAGGAAGTAAGGAATTTTGTAGGCAAATGATGGGATCTATAAAAGATCATCCTGAGTGAGGTATCCCAGAAGCAGAAAGACATACATGGTATATACTCACTTATAAGTGGATAATAGACATATATTATAGGATAAACATACTAAAATCTGTACACCTAAAGAAGCTAAGCAAAAACGAGGACCCTGGGTAAGATGGTCAATCCTCACTCAGAAAGGCAAACAGGATGGACATAGGAAGAGGGAGAAAACAGGGAACAGGACAGGAGCCTACCACAGAGGGCCTCTAAAAGACTCTACCCAGCAGAGTTTCAAAACAGATTCTGAGACTCATAGCCAAACTTTGGGCAGAGTGCAGGGAATCTTATGAAAGAAGGAGTAGACAGAAAAAGTTGGAGGGGACAGGAGCTCCACAAGGAGAGGAACAGAACCAAAAAATCTAGGTATAGGGGTCTTTTCTGAGATTGATACTCCAACCAAGAACCATTCATGGAGGTAACCTAGAACCTCTGCACAGATGTAGCCCATGGCAGCTCAGTATCCAAGTGGGTTCCCTAGTAAGGGGAATAGAGGCTGTCTCTGACATGAACTCAGTGGCTGATTCTTTGATCATCTCTCCCTGAGGGAGGAGCAGCCTTACCAGGCCACAGAGGAAGACAATGCAGCCAGTCCTGATGAAACCTCAGAGGCTAGGGTCAGATGGACTTGGAAAGGGGCATGGGAGGAGATGAGATGGAAGAATGGGATTGGGAGGGAATGAAGGAGGGGGCTACACCTGGGATACAAAGTGAATAAACTGTAATTAATATAAAAATAAAATATAAAATAATTTTCTAACAAGTTCTCTTTTTAAGTACAATTTCTCAATTCATATGCTTTATTATCTCAAGCCTTAATTTCAGAATACATAATTTCTGTTTCAACTTACTCCCCATATTCTTTGTCCTTTACTTTCATTTTGTTGGAGATATTTGGCACAAAATGTAACTCTTACACTTCTCTTGACATGTACATATTGGTATAATATCTGTTACTCTTTTTATACCTATTGATGAAAAAGAGTAATGCCTAGATTCTCTTAAAATGGAAAACAAAATATCATTCTAGAATGCTGAATATATCAATACTTAGCTGGAACTGCTATGTAAAGCAAATACTGATTTTCAGCTTTGCAGGTATAAAACAGGATTTCAGAATATCATTACTAATGTCAGAATAACACAAAGTGGTGTCTAAGCCATGGCAAATCCATCATACTGTCTACTGAGTATAAGTTCCCTTTGGTTTCATTTTGTTCAACTTAATATTTCCTGTCACAGATTATATGCAAAATCATGTAAAACATAATACTGTGATATCTATTAAAACATACTCTGGGTTTTCTATTCCAGATTTCAGAACAGAAGTCAGGCTGATGAACACAGTAGAACTAGGTGAAGTGCTAGAAAGGGAAATATGAATGAACACTTTTTTTTTTTTACATTTTTGTACAGGAGAATTCTTTATGCCCCAGTTGTTTTAGTCTGATATTCATTCCTTACTTTTTACTTTCTTATCACTACAGATTTAGAAATTTTAATATTAACTAACTGACTAATTGTATTTAGAGACAGAGTCATATGCTGCCTAAGATACTCTAAAATTCTCTATGGAAACATAGGATGGTTTTGAACTCTTGATCCTCCTGTTGCTGTATCCCAGTGCTAGGATTAAAGAAGTGTGGTATGAGTCCTAATAGTAGAAACATATTTTTATTTTTATTAACATTATTGTTTATTAACATAAATGTTTTAACATAAATGTTATGTTTTAACATAAATTTATTAACATAAATGTTAACAGCTTAACATTTCTAAGCTGATATTTATGTGTTAGTGTATTGTTTGCTACTGCCCATGGCTTTGGTATTCGTAGGAGGTGGGAATTTAAGTCAAGACAAGCATACTGGCGATCACAAACATTCAAAATTTCTTTATGATGCTGGCAGAAAAGTTCTTTGATTTACTTTTTTAAAAAGCAGTTAATGTTACTATGAAATTGTAGCAATTTCAGTTGTTTAGAAATTTTTCCTGCTTCTTCTTGCTCAACTGGTCATTTCAATAAAAATAACTTTTTTAACTACAGACCTTGATATGACAGATCACTATTTAATATTAAAGAAGCCAAAACTAGGTTTTCTCTGTATGCAGTTGTCTTTGCCACCATAATCTCTCCTAGTCAGTCTGCTCAAATGCTATTGTAATTTTTACCTGCATGCTTATCATGGTATAGCAGAGCTAGCTGGCAAGTACCTATGTTTACAACATTTACAAAAGTCTGATCTTTTTAGTATTCACCTATGGTACTTATCCTTAACTTTAACATGGTTCTTCAAAGAATAAACATTACCGTTTTGAGAACTGAGTCATTCTGTCCAAGCAAATGCAAGCAAAGCTCTGTCCCCCATCTCTCTGTGTTTAACCGTGTTGAAAGCTGACAGTTTCCAGAGGGTCGCCTTTTGTAAGAACAGGCTGGACTTCAGTTCATTCCACATTTCATCTGATTAAGATGATGCTTAGATATCAATTAGTGGTACCCTTGGGAAAGGGTTATTTTCTGAAACAAACAGAAGCAAGTAAATTTCACTAAGAGTGATTATTATGACTATCTTTAAATATAATCAGTAAAGACATTTTCTAGATGTCTTCTGGGTATTTTGATGTTTGAAATATTTGTTGAATGCATTAAAAAGTGCCAAAATAAAAGCATTATATTTATTGTTTGAGAGATAAATTATCTTTTGCTAGGTTTTAGAATTAATGCTTAAAAGTCCCTTTCCTTTTAAGTAATCCATTGCAATATAGAAAATTACATTTTTACCAATAAGAAGTTAGAATTATGTATAGGCTTTAACATGTGTTGAATTCTATCAGCCAATAAAAGGTAATGACATGTTTGACTTCAAATATAGTCCATATAAGTAGTGGATCAGTAAAATAAAAAAAAAGTGTATTTGTCTGAATTTAGTTGTATAATTTATTTTACGACATTCCTAGTTCCATGGATTATAAATGAAAATATCTGAAATGATCAGCAAATGCCTTCTCAATCTGGTTCTTATTGCAACCTTCACAGCACTATCTTCTACACAGATCATGTTGTATTATCTCCATTTTTAACAATGCTTTGTGTCAGTGTTCTTCTCATCGTTCTGGCCAATTACATGTGTGCCCTAAGTTACAGAGAGCAAGCCAGTGTTTAAGAAAGTAGTGGAGTGAAGAAATAGAAGTAAAACTGGAGAAAAAGAAAAGGTGACTAGTAAAAGAGGAGGGAAATGTGGGAAGATAATCAGGTACAGAGACAAAATGTTCAAAGTCAATTTCATTTGTGCATGAAACAAGTGTATATAATCCTATATAATACTAAAGGACAAGAGGCCAATTCTCCCTCTCCCAGCAATCATTTGCTGCCTATAGATTATTTTTTATCTCATGGTTGAAACCCATGAGATCCTCTCCGCCTTCTGTGTTAACAAATCTATTGTTATTGCCATTGTTCAGGTTTTATTTATTCAGAAATCTCAGACTGTTTCTGATATTATGACTCTTAACCATATTTGACTTTCAGGCCATGGGCCTTTAAATCAATCCACAGTATCATAACTTCCTCCTGCAGAGAGGGACTCAGCTCCATCAGAAAACAGTTGGTAACCTCAAAACAGCCATGCCATTATTGCACCAGGAGGCAAATTTTTCCTGACAGCTGCTATTACAGTGTTTAAGGTTCATAACAGGATAAAACCATTTATGACTTTTTCCCCTAGCTGCCTGCTTAGGAACTTCCTCTGCTGTGAAAACTAGCTGTTTTCCTGTATAATCTCCTCCTACCCTGTAATGACCTCCACACGAACTAGATTTCAGACTTTGTAGAGGTGTGGGCTTGGACCTGCTATTATTGAGACACCTGTCTTAACGGTCATATATAATTTTTAATTTCTTGGTGCCTCCTACCACCAAGCCGGGGCTGGGAGGTGTTTTTAATTTTTGTTTTTGCTTTTTCAGGGTTTTAGGTTTGCTATCACACGCTCTTTAATGTTCCTTTTATCCTTCATCTTTCCTTTTTTACCCTGAATATGCTCACTGTCACAGAGAGTATGCTTCTAAGATAGCATCTTACCCTGGAAGTAAAGACAGCACTAAATGTGTTAGAAACTGAGATAAAGTAAGGCCAGAAGGATTTCAGGGAAAACTTCTCAGAAGAGAAAATGTTTCAGTTTAGAATTTAATGATAACCTTAATTAGTCATTCAATACGCAGACAGAATATTATAGGAAATATGATTAAGAGCTAAATAAGCAGTGTCTAGAGAAAATTTCGGTAACTATTGAGGACAAGGTAAAGGGCAGGGAACAGTAAGCAAAAAGAAAAAACACGACACCACAGAGGACTAAAGAGAATAATCCATGTCATTTATGATAAACTTTCACATTTAAAAAGGTCAAAATTTAATCCAACTACAATGGGAAGCCCTTTTTCCCTTAGTAATTTGTAATAAAATCTCCACAAGAGAGAATTTATGTAAATGATTATGGAGTTATTTTTCAAAACCAGGTTCATATTACTTAAGGTTTCCCAGGGAAGGCAAAACATCCTTGGAGTAAAAAGCAGAACCGTAAAAGCAGAAAATGTAAGAAATACATTTTCAATTATAATAAATAATAAATTAATTAATTAAATTAAAAAAAGAAATACGCCCCTTCCGGGGGTGCAGCCTTACCAGGCCACAGAGGAAGACAATGCAGCCACTCCTGATGAGACCTGATAGGCTAGGGTCAGATGGAAGGGGAGGAGGACCTCACCTATCAGTGGACTTGGAGAGGGGCATGGGTGGGGAAGATGGAGGGAGGGTGGGATTGGGAGGAGACGAGGGAGGGAGCTGCAGGTAGAATACAAAGGGAATAAACTGTAATTAATAAAAATAAAACATTATAATAATAAAAAATACATTTTTTGCTTCCACAGTAGCAAAGTTAAGAGAACGTCTTACTCAAACAAGCTTTCTGCATGACCAAATCACTATCAAGAACGGGTGCTCTCCTCTGCCTCCACCACAGTTTGCAGTAGTAAAACGAGTGTGATTTTGCTCTAACATTCCTAGAAAAATCCTGTGTCTAGAGTACAAGCTGTTTCTGTGAACTGTGTAAAATCCAAATGGGAATCAGGAGTCTCTGAGAGAGAAGGCTGAGATGAAAGATGTTAGAAAGGTGAGTGAGCCTTCACCAATCTAAAGCTTTTCCCATTAGGGCATAATGACAAGGAAGATTTGAATAAAAAATTTTAAACTCGTAAAAAAAATACTTTTTCTGTGTCTAGTTGGTTAAGTGTGGTGGTCACTGTCGTGTTCAGCAGTGGAGATCATTTTGATGGTTAGTCAAGGTGGTCACTGTGGTTATCATTGTAGCGTCCATTGTGATGACGGGTGACGGTGTCCACTGTTGTCAGCTGTAGTGTTCACTCTGATGGTCACTCATAGCGAGTTTGTGAACAAGTAGGCCTTTGTTTCGTGTCCTTCTCTTGAGCTCTTTTTCTTTTGTCTGTCTTGTCCAACTCTGATGTGTTAGTTTTGTTTTTTTTTTTATTTTACTATGTATTATTTTATCGTTATCTCTTAGAAGCTTCTTTATTCTCTAATGAGAGAAATGGAGAAAGGAGAAACTGAGTGGAGTGGTGGGGTGGGAATCATAGTCATGATACACTATAAAAGAGAAAAAGCTGCTTTCATTAAAAGGGAATAAGAAGCAGGGAAAATTAAGAAAAGAAAGGAATATACAAAAATTAATGAGAGGGTTTTTGCCAGTTAACAGTGTACCTGCTGAGGCTTATGCAATCATGCAGCAGACATTAAGAGATCAATATTATTGACAATGTTTAGGCAAAGAACTACTCTCTGTGTTGCTAGTTTCATCTCAAATTGACACAGGCTAAATTCATCAGAGAGGAGGAAAGCTTAATTAAAAAAAAAAAAAAAAGAAGATGCCCCCATAAGATCTGAAGATCTGGCTGTAGCCAAGTGTATAGGGCATTTTCAAAACTAGTGATTGATGTGGAGGCCCCCAAAGCATTCACTGATACCATCCCTGGGCTGGTGGTTCTGAGTTCTGTAAGAGAGCAGACTTAGCAAGCTAGGAAGGACAACCAATTAAACAGCATTTTTCTATGGCCTCTCAGCAGCAGCTGCATCCAGCTTCCTGCCCTGTTTTTTGTTCCTGCTCTGGCTTCCTTTAATGATTAACAGAAATGAGAAAGAATAAGACAAATAAACCCCTTTCTCCCCAAGTTGCTTTGGTCATGATATTTCATCAGAGCAATGGTGTGATACTGAACATCTAAAATTTTAATATTCCTCCATATTCTGGATGCAAGCCAAATTTTCATTTTGTGTAGTAATATATATATACATATATATATACATTTATATATAATATAATATGTAATATAATATAATATAATATAATATAATATAATATAATATAATATA